GTTGAAAGCTATTTAAAGCATATGACAATGTGATAACATTTACTAATCGGAGATCTGTTATACTTTTATATCAAAATCGCAAATTTAATTTACTATATCATTCAGTAGCAGAGCAGTAACAGATTTCGGCCGATCACTAGAGGTTAAGCAAGCTCGAGTTGCCAAAAGGATGGATGAACGATGGCTCTCAAAAAAATGTGCGACGTTACCGACATTGCAAGATGAAAAAGATTTCCTTAATTTCATTGCACACTGCATATATATGCGCTTCGTGCCTTCATAGACATATTTTTGGTCAGCATTATAAAATTCATTTTATTAACTTTTTCTGATTATTTTATAATATTAATTAAATTTTATTTAGTATTTTAATTATAATGTAATATAAAAAAATAATTTATATATTTAATATTCTGTTAATAACTGTTAATAATTTTCTCATAAAGTCTCCAATGTGTGTTTATTAATCTTTCTCAAAATCATATAAAACATCCATAATTGATCCATACAATCTTCATGAGCCATCTACATGGAGCTCTAATGGAAGTCTAATGGAGGTTAAAAACGCGGAACTATGGATATCTCTAATAGACGTCTAATGGAGGTTATAAACCTCCATGATGATGGACCTCTAATGGACCATTGGAGGTTTTTGTTCCGTGTGTGATTTATCACTACTAAACAAGCAAACTATTTTTTAATATATTTTTTAAATTATTTTACATCCTGAATAAGAATACATAGAATAAGGGATTTTATTTAATATACATGGTATATATATGTTTATTTTTGTTTTTTATTTGTTTATTTATTACATTATATTTAAAATCTATATCAGACGAGAAATTAAGATCGAGATTAAATTGGAATTTGAATAATTTATTAAAGTTAGTTTTTTTTCAATTGATTAAATTCTAATTTAATCTCAATCTTAACCTATAATCTGTAAGTATATTCAACTAATTAAAGAAAGAGAAAAATGGTAGAGCGCTATAGATATCATCCACAGAGAAAATGTCTGATTGTCTATTTACATTTAGTTACTTATTAGTCCTCTATATAGATCTTGTTATTATATACATATAGTGAATATAGTGGAAATAATCAATAATCATTGCTTCAGTCATAGTTCTTTGTATATGCAATACTTGTTTCATTATATAAGTTTCACGGATTTAAGAATAGCATGGTGGAATATAAGCTAAATGTATGGCACATTTGCGGCGGTGATGTCATAAACACATTCCTCCACATAAGATAGTTGAAATAAATATTGCGAAGATCAGTTCCTCTTCATGCTTGAATTTTCACTCTCCTCGTTTAAACTAGAATTGTATACTCTATTTCTCAATTCCTAATTGTTCCTCTAGTGAATGGCCCTTTCTCTCCATTTCTTAATTCCTAATTGTCCCTCTAGATCCTCTCAAACGATGAGTAAAATTAATATGATATTTGATATTTGATATATATGATTGATATATATGATTAGTAAGATATTATTCTAAGTTTTGGTTAGCTCCTCTATACTAAAATGAATATGAATTTTGTTAATTCAAATACAGTATTAAGTCAAACATCAAGGTGGAACAAACATATTGATATAAATTAATTGTTACAAATTATATTACTCAGACTGGTATTCATAATCACAACTTAAATTGGTCTTAAAATAGTTCTAGATATAAAAATGGTTTATGAATATCGGCCTTGGAATGTGAGGATTCCATTAAATGAAAGGAGCTAAAATTATGTACTACAAATTGTACTTAGATTAGATGTTCACTCAATTGTATACTTAGACTAGAAAGGAAATGATTCTATATGGAGGTAATTGTACTAAATAGAATTGTAATTAGTAATATCGAAAATCAAACTATATTCATATCACATACAGTAAGTAAAATCATAATTGTGACTGATATACTCTGGTTGACTTCCTTCCGAAAGCAATTGGAATTATATTTGTTAAGATGTTAGTAAAGAAAGTGATAAATGACTTCCCTGAATAGTATTAGACTATCAGATCCTTGCTAAAATCCGAAATATCAATCTATGCTCCGTCCATATATGAGAATTATACCAAAAACAATCGCTATCGAGAAATTCATATTATTAATTTAATTTTCTGAAATTCAATTAAGTTAAACTTGATAATCAATTCTTCACATCAGTTAATATTGAAAAGTTCAGATTATATAATTATTTGCAATATTTTTGATATAAATATTTTGAATAATAATCCAAACACAAATATAATAACTTTTGTAATAATTTAAATAATCGTAATATATCATAATAGACGCCAATGGTTGATTGCTGAATTAAGCTATGTTTAACAGAAAAAGCAGACTTGTAATTATTGTAAGATTCTTTAATGTTTATGTTGTTCAGATGGGATTTGATAATTATTAGAAATTCGGCCCAACATATTAGTCCACTGTCGACAATCAAACATCGATGAGCAATACTGACATGAATATAATATTAGTAATTCTGTTTCTTGAGTATCGATTATATATTGTTTAGCAGTACTATTTTACAGTAATTGTTTAATATCAAACATATATTGATATTCTTTCTTTAGATAATACAGTATAATATTTAGATAATATTTAGATAATACAGTAAAATAATACTGTATTGTTTGTGTTTAGGAAGAGCATCATCAGTGCTATTACATCATTCTATTTTTTATTAAATGTAAAGCAAGGATAGAATAATGGAGAGGACCCCGTTTGCTTACAAATTATTTGCCCACAGTATGATTTATCCACATCCCATTTGCTGACAATTCCGTTTGCGCACAAAAATTATTGCTCACAGATCGATTGCCTACAAGTTCTTTTACACACAAATAAAAATTTTGAGATAAATGCACGTTTGCACACTGTGCCTTCTCACTTTAATAATTTTAATAGTTCAGTTTAATATTCCGTAATATTAATCTGGCATTAATCCTTGTATAACAAAATAAATAATCATGAATAATTGAATAAATGTATTATAAATAACAGTTAGAGGATTAGCTTTTTATCAAAATTTAAATCCTCAAAAACTGAAATAAAATATTAAATGAATTTGAGAGAAAGAGAGAGAGAGAGAGAGAGAGAGAGAGAGAGATCACATACAAAATAAACAAAATAAATTAAAATTAAAAGTAGAATAAAAAAGAAAATAAAAACTAAGTTA